GGGGGGAGTATGGTCGGTCGTGCATCTCCGGACTCGCGCAGCCGCCGCATACCAATCGAGTTAGCGGCGAACGCGCGCGGTGAACTCGCCGAAGAAACGGCGTGCAAACGGACGCGCGATGATCGCGCGACGATGACGGCGGGGAATATGTATGGCGGAGGAAAACGAAGGCGAAAACCGTCCCGCGACGCGGCGGTCCAACGCGCGGGAAACCACGACCGTCCTTCGCGGTTTTACAGCTCCGCCGCGAGGGAGATGCGCGATCTTACCGCGTCCGCTCCGTCGGAGCTCGGTCCCGTGGCACGATCGTTGCGAGGAACGTTCCTCCGGAAATGCACGACGGATCCCCTCGATAAGAGGGAGTCCGCGCGCTCATTGAGATACGCGGACGCGATTAGGGTGATCCAACGGGAGTGGGGGGGAGCGATCACCTCGGCGATAAGGCGTAAATCTGCCTTCGGCCATTACGGTCTCTCTCTTTCTCTCTCTCTCTTTCTTTCTTTCGTTCCATCTATATTGGGATTTCCGGGTGGGGGGGACGCGCATCGCAGAATTTTCTCTCAACTGACGCGACGTTGCTCGAGTGCGGGACCGAGCGGCTTCGGCGAATAGCGGAAACGGCGCGCACCGTCGATCGGCTGAAGTAAAGTTAATCGATCGTGAGGCGATTCGCGAGAACTTGGGTCGGAGACGGTAATCGTGACTGCAATATCGCCCGATCGTTCATCGGCGAATGGAGATATCGGGCGGATTTCTTAGCGGACAGCGATTGATATTCCGGGCTAGATTTGTCGGTGGAACCGGGCGGCTGATAAATTGCCGGGGTCACACGGTTGCCAGGTGGGGTTGCGATAAGCATATTCACGGCGTGTCCCTTTATATTACTAGAATCGTAACAATACGTTTTTACGGCAGACATCCCTCGCGGTTCCGCGCGAATAAAGAAATCACGAAACGGATTTCCATTTCTACGCCCGAGCGCGAATCCGCGCGCGAAATGCATCGCTCCGTCTCGCTTCGGAGAACTCCTCGAAGTGCTCCTTTAATTACGCACGAATATTTAATGTATTTTCGCGTAAATGTCCCCCCCCCCTCTCTATTTTTTCTCTCTTTCTCTCTCCCAACGTCGAGTTTGCTCTATTTGCGCGAACGAATGCGCGCGATGTGCGTGCCGATCGCGGTTTGAACTCATTTTGTCTTCACTCTTTGCTCAAGTTCGTTTTATGCTCGACCGATTCAATCCCGTTCGGTAATAATCCAACCACCCGCAGCTGTTGCCGAGCTTCTATTAAACGAGCGGTCGGCGCCGACTTCTCGGCGACAGTGCGCCTCGAGCTATTTTTATCCCGCACGCTGCGCGGTCTACTCGAGATCTCTCGACGATGACGGCCACGACGACTACGGCGTGGAGGAGGGAAAGGAACTTACGCCGGCACCTGGTGCGCGAGCGACAACGAGAGGTGGCTCTCATTAAAATTGTCCTCGTCACGTTATTCGCGGCGGCGCACGCTCGACGATCCCGATCTCTCCCGATACCGTCCCACGCTCGTTGCGCGAGGATTAATGCTCTCTCCCGCTTAGCGCTATTTCGCGCTATCCGCGCGAGATAAATGATAAACACGTGCCGCGAACGGAAGACGGCGGCTGCGAACTCGCGCGCCTCCCGTTGAATCACCGTCGCCAACGGGAAACGCCCGAAATTTGTTTATCCTCGGTGCACCCGGATTGAAGTTTTCAGTAAAATTCCCACACTGAGTCTTCGAGCGGGGAGTACGGCAATCGCTTGCCCATTTGTACCGCCAAATGGGAACTTGTTTTCGTTTTCCTTACTTGAAGACTCGATGTTGAATTTTTAGTCTCGACTCGGGCGCGTGCATTCGCGAACTGGCGATCGTTCGGCTCTTCCGCTCGCAATCGCGGGAACATCACGCTTGACCTTTTAACCGCTGCAGCCGAGCGCCCACCCGGGGGTTCACCGCGTCCGCTTTGACAACGGACACTACGGAACCGATCGGTTTTCACACACGCCGGTCGTATTGTCCCTCGTCGTACGCATCAGACACTTCCCTCGCCGGGAATACGCGAAATACGGATCTTCAAACGGCGGAGCTTTCGAATTTTTGCAGCTTCTCGTAAATAGCAGGGTGTTGTTGGTAAACGTCAGTGGGAAAGATACAAATTATGAATGTATCCGGAGAGCGGAACACACGCACACACCCGGTGGGTATTCCGCGGTGCCGAGGTAGAAAACCTCGCGCATTACGCTTTAAACAATGGATTAAATTATATCACTTGAAACAATTACTTCTGGAGTTCTCACCGATAACGAGGTTAAAGCGCTTTTGAACGACCGTAATGTGAAATTTAAATAACACGCTTCCCTCTTATTTCTCGATTTTCCCACGATTTTCCGCTGTGTATGTTTTTCTATGTTTAAATTTTTCAAAGAACG